AAATGGTGAGGAGAGCATATTAATAAGAAAGAGCGGGCTTGGACGTTAGCCTAAAAAGTCCCGTGGTTTTCTCCCTTTCCGGGTTTCCACGTAAAAATAGCTAGTTCATACACCTTTTATGTATTTTATTCACTTTTATATCGAATCCATCGTCCTTAATATCCGAAGTTTATGTTGGGCTTCCGGATCTACGGGACAAAACCTCAACATTCCCACAGACGGCGCCAATGTTGAGGTTGAGTATCCTCGGGACGGTAAACAATCCCAGAAACTCGGTGAGGTTTTGTCCCGTCTGTGGGAATGTTGAGGTTTTGTCCCGTAGATCCGGAAGCCCAACATAAACTTCGGATATTAAGGACGATGGATTCGATATAAAAGTGAATAAAATACATAAAAGATGTATGAACTAGCTATTTTTACGTGGAAACCCGGAAAGGGAGAAAACCACGGGACTTTTTAGGCTAACGTCCAAACCCGCTCTTTCTTATTAATATGCTCTCCTCACCATTTTACATAGTACCAGGGTAGAACCTCCATTAATGGAGTATGAAGTTTGCTAGTCTAAGGGGAAGAAGAAGAAAGCAGTAAAGAAGGAGAGCCAAAAGATCAGATCCCTTTCCCTGGAAACATTCCTCCCTATTTATAGAAAAGGGGAAGGGGTTAAGGGTTTCTCTAATGGGCCAATAGGCCTAAATGGGCCGGTTGGGCCTAAATGATCCTTGCTAACTGGGCCCCGTATCGGGGCGGTGTATTGGGCCTCTGAACAGTAGTAGGCCGGGGTAATATACCCAACAGAGCTTTTTTGAGTTCAGGGTGCGAATTGAGCATTCCAAATAAATAAAATTGTACGGAGTAATTTATTTTCTAGTTGAATTGATTAAAATTACTATTATATTAATTTTTTATTAAATTTATTATAAATATATTTTCCCATAGTTCAAAATTTTATAAAGGAAAAATTCCAAAATATGATTGTCATGTTTTTATTCCCAGAATAAGTGTCACGCCCCGGACCGCGTCCGTGCCACGTAGACAACCGCCGTACAACCCAATAAGAACAACATAGTTCATCCTTATCAAATCATACAAGGCGTCCGTTAAGTTCTATTGCCAAGCCGATTAGTAAACCCATACAATCAACATCAATATATATTAGTCAAACAAATGCGGAAAATAAGATATGTTTGATACTTAGCCACACGTGGCAAATACGGGCACGCAGGCCCCCAAATGTTTTAATAGAAAACATTGTTAAAAATATCCATGAGCAGTTGCATTATTTCAAATGAGAATGGAAGCACGAACCACGTCTTCCTCCTTGATCAATCACCCTAGGCAAAGGTGCAGGTAGTAGGACTCTAGCCTCAACCTGAAAAATGTGAGGGCCCCCGAAGGGGTCAGTACTCCATAGAAGTACTAGTGACAAGCAGGCTATATGAGGAATAACTAATGTTTCAGACACGAGACCCAAAAATAGGGTGATACATATGCTTATAGGTGTAACCATTGTTACCCCCATTCCCAAGATAATACATACTGTATATACTTGTAAAATACTTGACCCGTAGGTCGTTTTATCACAAAGAGTCTTTTAGAGGTATGGCGATTACCCAACCTTTCCCATTCATTCCTGAATGCCTAGCTCACGGGCTACATTCTACCTTCATAATATCCTACCGAGTTTCAGGAGTGTTTACCCTCCCGGGGATGCTCAACCCCACCGAGTTTCTGGGATTGTTTACCGTCCCGAGGATACTCAACCTCACCGAGTTTCTGGGATTGTTTACCGTCCCGAGGATACTCAACCTCACCGAGTTTCTGGGATTGTTTACCGTCCCGAGGATACTCAACCTCACCGAGTTTCTGGGATTGTTTACCGTCCCGAGGATACTCAACCTCACCGAGTTTCTGGGATTGTTTACCGTCCCGAGGATACTCAACCCCACCGAGTTTCTGGGATTGTTTACCGTCCCGAGGATGCTCAACCTCAACCGTATTTCTAACCAAACCCTAACCTGGATATGGCTAACCTTGCATTCACTTAACTATGGACAATACCTAGTCCTATAGTCATATAATAATCCTTAGTAACCAATGTGGACGGGTCCCACCTGATCGGTCCACGTTATCCTACTCAAAAGCTACCCGTTTTGAGTATAAACCAATACCCGGTCGGGTAGGGCCGGGCAGAAGCCCCTGGAACTGACTTTACTTGAGACCCGGTCGGGTCCCTGACCTTACCCGGTCGGGTCTAGTGTGGGAGTGGCTTCTGGAGCCGAATTTAATCAATACCCGGTCGGGTATCCATCTTACCCGGTCGGGTATCACCCTTGTCTCGGCGGTCAACGCCCGTTTGACCGCCCAAACGAAGTCCGATTAACGTGAAATTTTATATGCACATTCTACTTGAAGTCCTTGATCCAAAAATACCATTTTTGACCCCTGGATCATTGTACATAATAAGTTATCACATTTTTAATCACCAAACATACAAACATGCCTTTCAACTTTGTTTTATATATATTCATGGCATAAGCCCATACTTGATTAACTTTAATCATTCCGTAAAACATATCCTTGATTACTTTAGGTAATCTCATGCCTCAATCAAAAGTTATAAAGCATATAGCCGTCTTCTCACCTTAAAAGAAGCTTATGAAGTTTTAGCCTTCCTTATAGAGCTCCGGTGAAACTCCGGTGAACTTCAACTAACTCCGGCGACAACTCCGGCGACCCTTTCAACCCCTTGAAAGTTCTTGAAATACCTTATACAATTTAACAACAAGGTTTTATCATCATAAAACCTATAACAATACAAATAACCTCTAAAAGGTTATTTTCCGACAAACCGGTCAACTTTGTTCTCCAAATCCGTTTTGGGTATGAACCAACCTTCCAACCCCTCATTCTTCACATCAAATGTGAAGAACGGTTCTATGGGTATGAAATATGATTACATAATCATATTGGAGGAAAGGAGAAAGGATTCGTGGGACCATTACCTTGTTTCCTCAAGCTTTTCCTCACTTCTTCACCTTTAACCCTCTCCCTTGAGCTCCCTTCTTCCTTGAGCAGGCTGGAAACTATGGAGGTGTGTCTTCAAGAGCTTCTATCTCCCTTGAGGAAGGCCTGGCCGAAATAATGGAGTCTATGGGTGAGGAGATGTTCTTTTTGGCATCTTTGGCCAAATAATGTGATAGAGGGGACCCTCTCCCTTCTCACTTTGTCTCCCCATCATTTCCCTTCTATTTCTTTGCTTCTAACTCGGCTCTCCCTCCCTCATGCAAGACTAAAAACGTGGGGTGGCCCCCACTCATGTGGGAGGTCATCCCTTTAAGTCCCCAAGTGTACATTCAGTCCCGAAAGTTGTATTTTCCGGACTGTTTTAACTATATTTCATTTTATCGGGTAAAATGAAATATTTCTCCTCCTTCCAATTATTATTGGCTACAAGAATGAATGTATATTCCCCAACTTTCAATTTGGTGGTCTCCGTAATTTATTATGGCTTTTTATCTGATATTACTTCGGTACCGATAAATGGGCTTCACATGCTCAACTGGTTGCTCACATAACTTCTATGGCTCAACCAGGCTATCCACCAATATACACATATTATCTTGACCCAAATGAATATAATATGTGGTCCCGATAATATCGGGCGGCCCCCACTTCCGGTGTGGGCCCCACGTGAATTTTTTTTTACTATTCACGTAAAAGAAATGATAAACATTTACAATTACGAAAATGCATTTATTCATTTCCCAGAGTTCAATACATAATTCGGTAAAGTACAAATACTTGGGGGCGGTGTTACAATAAGAGTAATTACTGCCGTGTTTAAAGTATGGTATCGACAAAACATGACAATAATTAGTCCTATTTTGGGAAAGCAAACATGACAGTCCTATTTTGGAATATACAAACATTTTTAGTCCTATTAATGGTAGTCTCCCTTTTATAAACTTCATCATATTCCGTGTTACCCAAGAGACTTTAAATTTGGTAAATAATTATTATGCATAGAAAATGTAAGAAAATCAACCGTAATCCATATTCAATACATCATCTTCAGTCTCTATTACTAGAGGGTTGTTCCAATACCTATGGATGTACAGGAAGCTCCGTACGGACAAAGCCATTAGAGGCCCTTTCGATGAAATTTTTTGAGCATGTTCTTCATCTAGTCTAGTTTATCCATACCAATTTTCAGCTCAAAATTCGATCTGGAAGACAGTCAAATAAATTCTTGAAATATACTGCACATTACATGTGCGCAGAATGCGCCATATGTTTCAATAATTTATTTGACTGACCTCCCAATTGATTTTTGAGCTGAAATTTGGTATGGATAAACTAGACTTGATGAATAACATGCCCAAAAACTTTCATAAAAAAATTCCACCGGAAAGGACCTCTAATGGCTTTGTCCGTACGGAGCTTCCTGTACATCCATATGTACTGGAACAACCCTCTATATCTCCTATTTCTATTCCCTATGAATTTAAAAGTTTGCTATCCTTTCCTATTTGGGCTGTATTTAACAGTTTGCTACCACATCTTCCACTTTTGGTAAATGTTTTCTTTAAAAATATTCAATTAGCCTTAATTTTCTTACTTATTTTTGTGATTTTTTGTCCTACTTTTTCTGCATTATTCATTACTGTTGTGTATGAAGTACATAGGGGGTGAGACGTTTGGAACTCATTCTGCTTCTGCTTCTCTTTTAAAGCAGAAGCAGAATAAGTTTTCAAAAGTTGGTCTCCCGCAACTTCAAAACAAACTGATTATATGAGTAAATTAGAACACGAGAATCATTTTTGCACTTTCACCCAAAAACACTCTTCATGGTAGGTAAGGTAAATTAGTCACATTCGCAGACTTATTTGACTAATAATACGATACTATTTGACTCATTTCAGAAAATCCAATATCAATACGTAGTAATTTATACGGAGTAACACTTCGTTTGATGCTTCAATCACATACTCCCTGTGCAGGAAGGCCTCAATTCCGTCAGACTATTATAATCATTTGAGTCTTTGACTGCAGCTGTCCGAGCTGGAAGAGATTCTCGGACGCTAGAGTTTACCGGCGGATGATGGCTGAGGGCAAGAGACTTGTGACCGTTGCAGCGCTGCAATTCGCCTGCACTGACGACGTCGCCACCAACGTCACCACTGCCGAAAGGTATGATCCACTCATCCTTCTGATCCGATGGATGAATAATTTAGGGCTGGCGTTTTATAGCGAAGCAGCTCTGCTTGGAAAGACGGACAGTTCATCTCTTTTCGAACTACGGAATATATTATTGATGGTTGCATTTCTGTGGGTCTTTAACACAGGTTGATTATAGCAGCTCATGAGAAAGGTGCGAATATCATTCTCATACAGGTTTGTAAATAAAAGTCAAAGCTTTCAAATTTTAAATGATTTGGGATTAAAGCTTGGGTTCTTATCATTGAAAGGGACATGTTCTTAAGTTCATTTACAATTTATATCTGTTCTCAGACAACGGCAGTGTAATCATTTCGTGTGTGTTTTTCTGTATTTTTTAAAAATTCAAAAAATTAATTTCTATGTGTGAACTTTTGAACTATTGTTTCTGTTTCAGGAGTTGTTTGAGGGCTATTACTTTTGTCAAGCCCAAAAGGAAGACTTCTTTCAGCGAGCAAAACCATACAAGGGCCACCCTACAATTCTCAGGTGAAAAATCACTTTCTTTCGTTTTGTACTTTGATGTTTCTGTTGCCATAGCATTCCTCAACTGTTGCTTCAAATGAACCAAGACATCCCATATTTTTACATCTTGATTATTTATTTTGGATAAAAGTATGGCTTCTGTTTGCATAATTTGCAGGATGCAGGAGCTTGCAAAAGAATTAGGAGTAGTAATTCCAGTTAGCTTCTTTGAGGAAGCCAATAATGCCCATTACAATTCCGTAGCTGTTATTGATGCTGATGGCACTGATCTTGGACTTTACAGAAAGTCCCATATTCCAGATGGTCCTGGTAAGTTTGGTAGGAGAGTGGGATTAAAATGTTCAGTGAACTATGTAGAAAAATGAATATACAATTTCTTCATTTTTATTTTGTGCAGGTTACCAGGAAAAATTTTACTTTAATCCAGGCGACACAGGCTTTAAGGTAAATAAATGTTGCTCAAGCTGGTTCATCAGCTTTATGTTTGTTTGCTTGTGATTGTATAAGTTTCCAGCATCTGCAGTTCTGAATATTCTTTTGCACGTATGATGTACAGGTCTTCGAGACGAAGTTTGCGAAAATAGGAGTCGGTGAGAATCTATCACATCTTCATCCTAAATATTATCTCCGTCCCGAATACAAGTTCCCACTTTACTTTTTCGGATTTCCCAAAATAAAGCTCTCACTTCCACAAAAGAAAACTCTTTAAGATCATTATTTGACATAAAGTAAGAGTATTCAGGGAAGTTCTTGTGACCTTTTAATTAGACTATTTTCATTATCACCATTACTTAATACGTAGTACTTTTTACTTGATTTGACATAAAGGGTATTTAGGGAAGGTCTTGTGACTTTTTGCTTTTGCATAAAATTGTGTGCGAGTCAAAGTGGGAACTTTGTTGCTGGATGGAGGGGGTATTATTTACAACAATTTTGTGAAACCATATTTAGTGTTGGTGTCCTTTACATCATCCACTCTTACAGAATAAATTCTCCAAGGAAAGTAGTAAATATTATAGGTGTAACTTGGCTCTGCAGCTAGTGATACATAAACTGTGCCGTAACAGTTTTTTATAAGTAAAAGGTAGACTTAACCCCTTCCCCGCAGACCAGAAAAATAATCTGATGTTGCATGATGTAGCTATTTGCTGGGATCAGTGGTTTCCAGAGGCTGCTAGAGCCATGGCTCTTCAAGGTGCAGAAATACTGTTTTACCCAACCGCAATTGGTTCTGAACCTCAAGATGGTGGACTTGATTCCCGAGAACATTGGAAACGAGTGATGCAAGGTCATGCTGGAGCAAACTTGGTATAATATTTTAAATTAGTCTGAAATAAGCTATTTATCTTTTTGTTACGTTCTTTAAATAAAAGCATTCGAAAATATACACTCCGTACCACTTCTGAAGGACTGATATACAATTATGAGTCAAGGTACCTCTTGTAGCCTCAAACCGTATAGGGAAGGAAGTAATTCAGACTGAACACGGGAAGAGTGAAATTACATTTTATGGAAACTCCTTTATAGCAGGTATGTACTTTAATAAAGATGTAGTTTAAGATATGGTTTCCGCCTTTCCGGTACAGTCACTTAGCGGAGATGCTTTGTGCACTGGACTTCCCGTTTAGTTTAAGTCCTTAAGACTGATTGGTAAATGATAAATTGAGCTAAAATCTGTGAAATTGCTGTGTTCACTAAATATGCTGAATTTCTTAAAAAGGCTTTATAAAAGGATAATCAAATGCGTTACTTTCATTTCCCAAAATAAGCATAAAGTGTCTATTCCTTTGATTTCAATTTAAAAAGTAACTCATGCACCACTTTTTGTATAATTAGCCGACTCAACATTTTCTGTCAAATAATCAAATGCAATAGAGTATTTGATAAAACATCTAATTGGTGAGGTTGATAGGAAAAAAAAACAGGAGCTTTTCTACCAAATGGAGGGCACATTAAATATTTCAATAGAAATTGTAGGTTGGTTTAAACTAAGTCAAAGATATTTCTGATTGTCAACTCCATTATCTGCAACGTGCTGTTTACGCTTTGGTTACAATATACTTCCGGTTGAACATTTTAGTCAAGTGTATTTGTTTGGCGGCATTTTGAACTAGTTGACTTAAACTAGACCCGAGTCCCAACAATTCAAAAGGAATTAAAACAGTGAAAGAATAAAAAAATATAACTTTTACAACTAAAACGTTTTATGTGAGTTTTGGTTTTTAGAAGGCGGTAAACTATCTTTAATGATCGACACACGAGTAAAATAATCTTGTGCATCAGACAGTATATGACTCATGCTTAAGTGAGTGCCCCTAAGTCAATCTCTTAAAGTTTTCTTAAATGTCTGACCAATGTTTTATTCGGTCTCTTTGAAAGGTGTGTTGTAGCATAAAAATTGTTATGTATTTATATATTGAAGTATAAACAATAAATAAGTTAATAATAAGTCATAATACTTGAAGTTACTCCCTAATACTATATTGAACAGGCAACCCTGATTGACTAAAGTTGTTTAACTACGGCTGAAACCCTTGAATTATGAACTTTTCTTTGCATAAAAAGAGAGTCTGTTATTTATATCTGAATTACGGTAATAATTTATCTATTCCGAAGCAAGCAGGTAGTGGTTCAGCTGATAGTTTGATACCATTAATCCATTATACATGAAATTAAATTTTAAAGTTATTATATATACTAGCCGACAGCGAGTCTATTTTCCTATTTGTCACATAAAGCTTGGATTTAGTAATGAAATTCTTGAAGAACTAAATAATTCCTCATATTTAGTTAACCCTAAGGTGCTTTCAATAAAGAAAACTTGATGACTTGAAAAGAGCACCTAACATATCTAGTCCCTGTCCAGTGTGCACTGGACTGCCCTTTTAAAATGTTAAGAGTATAAGACCCTGTTAAGGAGATTGTGTACACATTGGCTAAATCTCTATTCAAACTCTATGAGCGTTGACTTTTGGTAAATAGCATTGGCTTAGGCATATGTTATTTACAGTCATCTAGGCACAATTTTCAAGTCATGGACATAAAGTGTAGCTTAATACCTTGTAATAACCAGTTATATTCTAACCTTTGAAAGTTTTAAATGGTTTTAAATTTATATCTTTCTAATGTTTTTATAGTCCAAAATGTCGCCAAACAAGTACACTTGATTACTTATGTTACACTAGAAGTTTATTCTTACCAAATTGTAAATGGCAGGTTGCAAACAGCGGAGGTGAGTTTGAGATTTGATATAAGCCTTTGCTTGATTGATCACAAATATGTTGTTGATTAGGTCCGACAGGTGAAATTGTGGAACTGGCAGATGATAAGCAGGAGGCAGTTCTTGTAGCTGAGTTTGATCTTGGGATGATCAAAAGCAAAAGACACAGCTGGGGGGTGTTTCGTGATCGCCGCCCGGACTTGTATAAGGTGCTTCTGACATTAGATGGACGCAGTCCATCTCTATGAATCCTCACCTCACTACTTATAGGTGGCTGTAAGGAAACTTTAATGTGAGCCTAAAGTTGCATTCTTTTTAATCATATGAATAAATAGATGCAAAGATGGTATGTAACTGTGTATCTTGTTAGTTCTACTATCCATCCGTTGAAGACAATGTTAGATACTTATTGTGGCCAATCACGTGTGGTCTCTTAATGATGTTCTGGATTCTTAGCCCCACAATTGTCTTTGACTTTATGATTTTAGTACCCTGGATATTGCATGTTACGGAGTATATGTTACTCGGTGTTTTTCTTTTCTGATGAGGAGCAACAGCCAGCTGGCCGTGAAGGTGATGAAGTGGCAGTCAGACGGTCCACAAGGCCACGTAAGCAGAATAAAAAATACCTTGTTTGAAGAAATTCCAAAATTTGCTTTGTTTTCGGTTGTAAATAAGAAAACGTCTTCCTGGTTTTTAGGGAGAACGTTCTCCACTTTCCGATTCCCTGCTTTTTAGGAGTCCATGACTCCACCTTTCTATTCTTTGGTTCATGTACTTTTGCTATTTATATCAATGAAAAACATCAAAAATAGGTAGTGAAAACTACCACAAACATCTGTCTTATGCTGCTACGGCCAGCTCTCTGTTATTTGGGGGAGGGACCTTATCAATTTGGTATCAGAGCCATTTGGTTCTTGTTGGCGGTATTCACTACGAATCAACGCTCATCAAGAATTTTCTGCACTTTTATTCATCATCAATCTACAACATTCCACCCCGAAAATCAACAAAACCAAGCAAGCCCAAGGTCGTGATTCAACGAGACGGGCCAATGCCGAACAACAAGGAGAGGCTCGATGACTTGGAGGCAGGTCTCGGGTTGATGCAGGAGAGCCTTGGAAATGTCCAAGATGAGCTCCAGAAAATAAACACCGGCATAGGAGACAAATTCCGGAGTTTGGAGACTACGTTCAGTCGAAACCTAGAAGACGCTATAAACCAGATGAGGGAATTGATGGCGGCCACCCGCGAAAGTGGGTCCAGTGCGGCACACAGTCATCGTCGGACAGAAGAGCACACCTCGATGGACCCGAGAGGGAACAGTCGTGTGTTTACAACAACGACTCCTCCACACGGACATCCTCGCCAGGTGAAGTTGGAATTCCCAAAATTCAGCGGTGGAGACCCGGAGGAGTGGATGAGCAAGGCCAAGCAGTACTTTGCTTACCACGAGATGCCACAAGATCAGAGAGTCAGCTTTGCCTCCTATCACCTGACGGAGGAAGCCAACGCGTGGTGGCAAGCGAAGTCTAGGGCTCGGGATTTCGATCCACACAGGGTTTCATGGGAAACATTTGAGGCTGAATTGTGGACGCGATTTGGACCAATCGACGGAGAAGACTTTGATGAAGCGCTTTGTCACATCCGCCAAAAAGGGACGCTAATCGAGTATCAAAGAGAATTCGAAAGGCTGCAGAACAAGGTTGAAGGGTGGTCGGAGAAGGCATTAGTAGGGGCCTTTATGGGCGGACTTCACCCTTCTATTTCCAGTGGAATCCGAATATTTAAACCGAAGACACTGATGGAGATCATAAATCTGGCCAGATTAAGAGATGATCAGTTGCAGAAAGAAAAAAAAATGGGGTGGGCAGCGATCTTACAACCCTAGACCTTCGCCTCAAAGCGGAAATTCACCATCAGATTCCATCCACACATTATCAACAGGTGAAAAACAAGCATCGGGTCCACGACGGTTAAGTTGGGAGGAGCTTAAAAGGAAGCGGAGCCTGGGGCTATGCTTTAGTTGCGATGAACGGTTTTCGCCAGGCCACAAATGCAAGCAACCGCAGCTGTTTGTCATGGAAAGCGAACAGGATTCTGATGATTCTGACGAAGGTCCACTGGATGCAATAGATCAATCACCGGAGATCACGTTACATGCCTTGACGGGTTGGGATGCCCCTACAACCCTTCGTCTTCACGCAGGAATTAAAAATCGCAAACTGGTCGCACTGGTGGACAGCGGCTCAACCCACAACTTTATTAGCATAAGGGCAGCACAACAACTCCAGTTAAGGCCAACACCTACAACGCCATTCATGGTACGAGTGGCCAACGGCGAACCTATGAGGTGTGAAGGCAGATATGACGATGTTAAGGTACACATTGGCGATGTTACCTTCACGATGACCTTGCACACGCTGCCTTTGGTGGCCCTAGACTTGGTTCTGGGAGTTAAATGGTTGGAAAGTTTAGGGCCAGTGACCTGTGATTGGAAAGCGCACACATTGCAGTTTCAGCGGGGCTGCCAGACCCACTTGCTTCGGGGGCTCCAAGCTGCAATGATTCAGGCCACGGATGCACATGATTTGGTTAGGGAAGCTCACCAAGGACATACACTTAATGCGATCTGTCTCTCTGAAGCAGCGGAACCATCGACGCCAATAGCTGAGCAACTGAAAGACTTGATCCAGGAATTTGAAACATTATTTCATATTCCAACTGGTCTTCCCCCGCGCCGTGAGATTGAGCATCACATTACCCTCAAGGAGGGTACCGATCCTATCAATGTTCGGCCCTACCGCTACGCACATTATCAGAAAGAAGAGATTGAGAGACAAGTGGCAGATATGCTCAAATCAGGGATCATTCGTCCAAGTTCAAGCCCTTTTTCCTCACCAGTCTTATTAGTCAAAAAGAAAGATGGCTCGTGGCGGTTTTGCACTGATTATCGGGCACTGAACGCGGCAACAATTAAAGATCGATTCCCAATTCCCACGGTGGATGACATGTTAGATGAGCTACATGGGGCGACTTACTTCACCAAACTTGATCTTACTGCAGGGTATCATCAGGTTCGAATGCACCCTCCAGACATCGCCAAGACTGCATTTAGAACACATAATGGGCACTACGAGTATATGGTAATGCCCTTTGGGTTGTGCAACGCACCCTCAACGTTTCAGGCACTTATGAACTCCATTTTCAGATCATTGCTGCGTAAATCAGTGCTTGTCTTTTTTGACGACATCCTTATCTATAGTCCAGATTGGGAGACACATTTGATACATGTTCGGGAAGTGTTCCAAATCCTGCAACAAAACCAGCTGTCCGTCAAATTCAAGAAGTGTGCATTTGGTAAACAGGAGCTAGAGTACTTGGGTCATATCATCACTCGAAACGGTGTTAAGGTGGATCAGTCAAAAATCCAGGCCATGTTGGACTGGCCAGCTCCGACAAGCATCACCGAGTTACGGGGTTTTTTGGGATTAACAGGCTACTACCATAAATTTGTTAAAAATTATGGCCTAATAGCACGACCCTTGACGAACCGCTTGCGAAGGGGCCAATTCACCTGGGACAACGAAGCAGAACACGCGTTTTTAGCACTCAAGGCAGCCATGACCACAACTCCGACCTTGGCCCTACCGGACTTCACTCAACCATTTGTGATTCAAACCGATGCGTCAGGAGACGGAATTGGCGCAATTCTCTCTCAGAATGATAGACCAGTGGCTTTCATGAGCCGCACATTGGGGGTGGCAAAGAGAAACTGGTCCACATATGCTCGCGAGATGCTAGCAATCATTGTGGCGATTCGAGCATGGCGGCCATATCTCCTCGGTCGCAGATTCACCATCCAGACCGACCAACGTAGCTTCCGGTACCTACTTGAACAACGGATACTAACTCCAGAGCAACAGAAGTGGATGGGGAAGCTAGTGGGGTATGACTATGAGATCATCTATCGACCTGGGAAGGCTAATGCAGCCGCAGATGCATTATCACGCGTTCCCGATAGCCCTGTGCTCAATTCCATCTCTATACCACGTGCATCATTATGGGATGAATTGAGAAAGCTAGCGCAAACTGATCCATATTTGGTACGGGCAGGAGCAGCAGCTACGGCCGCCCCAGGAAAACCGTATGCATGGCGGGATGGGTTGGTGTGTTACAACAATCGTGTTGTAATACCTCCTGACTCTATCTTCATTACACAGCTCCTCCGGGAACATCATGACACCCCGATGGGTGGTCATTCGGGAATACTACGCACAATGAAACGGTTGTCTCACCAATTTTATTGGCCGGCTATGCATCGGACTGTCACAGAATATGTGTCAAGATGTGACACTTGTCAACGAGCAAAGGCTCAGTCGATGTCGCCGGCAGGATTATTACAACCATTGCCCATCCCAAATCAAGTCTGGGAGGATGTGTCAATGGACTTTGTGGATGGGTTGCCTCGATCCCACAACCATACTACAATACTGGTAGTGGTAGATAGGCTAAGCAAGTCCGCACATCTTATTCCTCTATCACACCCTTACACTGCCGCACTGGTGGCCAAACGGTTTGTGGATTGCATTGTTCGGCTGCACGGGATTCCGAGGTCAATTCTTAGCGATCGTGACCCCATTTTTCTCAGTCATTTCTGGAAAGAGTTGTGGAAACTTTCAGGAACTACACTCCGAATGTCATCAGCATATCACCCGCAAACTGACGGGCAGACAGAGGTCATTAACCGGTGTATTGAACAATTTCTTCGCTGCTTTATACAACACAGACCAACACAATGGAGTGATTTATTGCCCTGGGCCGAATACTGGTACAATACCACGTTCCACGCCTCCACGGGAATGACACCTTTTGAAGCCTTATACGGCCGACCGCCACCTGTAATTCCCAAGTATGACAAAGGGTCCTCCTTGGTGGAAGAAATCGATGTTCAATTACAGGAGCGTGACCAACTATTGGGTGAACTTAAAAACCACCTCATGTCTGCCAACAATCGTATGAAACAAATGGCAGATCGGAAGCGCAGAGATGAGGAATTTGAGGTAGGTGATTGGGTTTTCCTCCGTTTGCAACCATACCGCCAGAAATCAGTCTTCAAACGTTCATCACAGAAGCTAGCCAACCGGTATTTTGGACCTTTCCAAGTTGAGAAACGCATTGGTCAGGTAGCATATCGCCTTAAACTTCCTGCAGATTCCCGCATTCACCCAGTTTTTCACATCTCCTTGCTAAAGAAAAGAGTTGGGGATGATGCTCCAGTGACAGTAGAGTTGCCACCATTGCGTGAGAATGGGTTATTACAGCTCTGCCCGGAAGCGGTTCTCAGCACTCGTCAACGTCAGCAAGGTTCCCGGCTCGTGACTGAGGTGCTCATTAAGTGGGCAGACTTACCCGTTGCAGAAGCTACCTGGGAGGAGTACGGTCAGTTTCTGGCAAGCTTTCCTCAATTTTCTATGAACCTTGAGGGCAAGGTTCTATTGGAGAAGGGGAGTATTGATGAGGAGCAACAGCCAGCTGGCCGTGAAGGTGATGAAGTGGCAGTCAGACGGTCCACAAGGCCACGTAAGCAGAATAAAAAATACCTTGTTTGAAGAAATTCCAAAATTTGCTTTGTTTTCGGTTGTAAATAAGAAAACGTCTTCCTGGTGTTTAGGGAGAACGTTCTCCACTTTCCCATTCCCTGCTTTTTAGGAGTCCATGACTCCACCTTTCTATTCTTTGGTTCATGTTTTTTTGCTATTTATATCAATGAAAAACATCAAAAATAGGTAGTGAAAACTACCACAAACATCTGTCTTATGCTGCTACGGCCAGCTCTCTGTTATTTGGGGGAGGGACCTTATCATTTTCTTTTACCAGCATATATCCTCCTAGCTATATTGTGAATTTCCACGTGCGGCCAGGGGTGGACTCGGGCCGGGCGGCCCGACCCGGAACCGGCCCGGTTACTGTTTGGCCCGGCCCGGCCCGGGGCCCGGTGGGTCCAGCGGTTCGGTTTAGCCCGGCCCGGGTGATGGGCGGTCCGGGCTCGGGCCCTGCTTTAGGCGAACCGGCCCAGCCGGTTCGGGCCCGGTCCGGCCGGTTCGGGCCCGGTCCGGGCCGGATTTTTTTTTTTTTTTTGAAATTTTTTTAAGTTTTGGGTTGGATTAGGTATTTTGGGCCATTTGAGGTGGTTTGGGGTTGAGGGGGAGGGGTAGGGGGTTAAATAGGAGAACAAAAAAAATGGACCGGTTTGGCCCGGCCCGGTTTGGCCCGGAACCGGCCACTGGCGGTTCGGGCTCGGGCCCCAATTTTCTGGCCCGAGGCCCGGCCGGGCCCGAACCGGCCCGAGTCCAGCCATACGTGCGGGAAATCTGGTTTCCCAGTTCATTCTTTATCAAATAGTTTCACCAAATTAGAAACTAAATGGTGGTGAAAATGGTTACTGAAATAGTGAAATATGATAACAATTATTAGAAGTAATAACATTTTCTTGTTTTAAAAGCACAAATACATAAGAATCAGTTTTTCCAGAATCAGTTTTTTAGAAATTGGTTTCTCTAAGCTTCTAAAAATTGCTTCTATGAGCAATTTGTAACACTTTAAAGTATTTCTACTCTTTCATCCAAATATTACAATATCTGCTTCTGCTTTTTAAAAGAGCAGAAGTGGTTTTGAGAAGTGGTAGTGCATCCGTTTCATTTTATGTGTCTTGTTTTGATTTGACATGATTATTAATAAAACGGTTGAAAAGTGAAATAAGGCACTTATTTTAAAAGAATTCAAAATGGAAAGTTGACACATGAAATAGGAGAGGACTAGTGATATTAGGGCAAGAGATTTACCAAATTGAATATATTCATATTCATCGGTCATGTAGGCTCTATTGTCACAATTTCACAAAACAATCTCTTCGATCTAACTATACAAAAAATCTGTTTGTATCCACTTTTGTACCCATTTATTTTGTTTGTGTACATATGTAGTTCGTTAAGAAGAAGACAACATTTATCTCCCAATTATTTAACTATACAAAAAATCTGTTTGTATCCACTTTTGTACCCATTTATTTTGTTTGTGTACATATGTAGTTCGTTAAGAAGAAGACAACATTTATCTCCCAATTGCCCGTGTTTCAATGTACAAAAGTGGGTACACCAAGAAGGACTCTTAACTATATGCTTTAGGTGATGTACCTAATATGGATTCTCATGTATTGTTATGGAATTTTGAATTTCACCACAATTTAAATATCCTTAATTGGAATCTATTAAAATATTGCTATCCTCAATCATTGTTGATTTAATCGTGTATAATAAATTGATTGAGATGTTGAAATGAGTGAATTTTGCATCTATGATTCTTGTCTTTACCCATCATACAAAAATAACTGGATAAAGTTACAATAGTTATTTCAACTCATTATAAGCTTTACAAAATAGTCCCCACCTAAAATCATCGTGTAAAAATCTCATCTCATTTGTTCCACAATAAGCGAAACCAATTTGATTAGAAAAGTCATAGAAACTGTGCTATTTAGAACTTAACAATCAAAGATGAAGCAATCACCCTAAAAATAGTAACTCACATTGCTGACCACCACTCATATTTCTCACCGAATTTCACTGACTATTGCCCCTAAACGAAACAAACAACAAAAACAAACCCTAGAAACTCTTCGGAGGAAGCTACGTACCATAGCTGCATTAAAAAGCTCCATAAAAGCAGTTTAAGGAATTACTGTAACTTTAAAAAGTGTCATTGTTTGAATATAAACTTAGAGGGGGATTTACCTAAATAGGAGTAAATAAACTCTTAATTGCCAAAATAGGACTAAAATTGAAAAATTCCCAAAATAGGAGTTATTATTTGTTGTTGGACATTAACACCCCTGAAACATTGGAAACATACTGCCGCAGGCTGCAGAAGCCGGTCCGCAGCCGATCGCCGTTCACCGCCAGCTGTCGTCGGCCGGCCGGCGCCGCCGGCCGGCGCCGCCGGCCAACCGCCTCAGAAGTAGCCACCGCTGCAGATCTGGCTGCTGCTAGTGTAGATCTTGCCGCTGCTAGTGTAGATCTGGCCGCCGCCACCATAGATCTGGCCATCTCCGCCGTAAATCTGGCCAGATCTGGTACTCGACCGCCACTGCTGCAGATCCGGCCGCCACCACCGCAGGTTCGGACTCCGCCACAATAGATCTGGATGCCACCATCATTGATATCAAGATTTATATCAGATTGCCAACATGAGTCGAGAATGACATTTTAATGGCATTTTCAAAGAAAAATATGGCATTTTTGAAGAGTAAAATGCCATCGTCATGGCATTTTTAAAACGAAATTTGACATTTTTAAAAAATCAAAGAAGATGAATCTATAGCCATCGTTGAGTGATGAGCATTTTGAATTTACAGAATCTGTGATGAAAAAAAGGAGGGAGAGAGAGAAACATAGAATAGCTAGAGGAGGAGTTGAAGAAGAAGGAGAAAGAAGAGATAGCTAGGGAGAATAACAAGCCTCAATTTCACAATCGGGATCTGAACCAAAGCTTTCCGCCGGCCGCCGTTGCTCGGCGTGGCTCCTTCGCTGCTAGCCGCCGGCCACCACTTCTCGACGTGGCTCCTTCGCCGTTCGCCGTTTGCCGCCGCTCACTAATGCTTGCCGCTGCCATTGCTTGTCTTTGCTTGTGGCTCCATTGCAGCTCAATTCTGTTCTCGCATCTAAGCTCCCGTTGAAGACTTTAGTCTTCAAACCGATAAGAGAGATAGCGAGCAGACTTGATGGGTGTTGAACCGTAAAATTTAATTGGATGGGCATAAGTGGTATAATGGTCCTATTTAGGGAATAAGAATATACATACTCCTATTTTGGAATTTGAGCAACATTTTAGTCCTATTTAGGACAAAATACTCAAACTTAAAAACCTAGCCTTAAAAGAAGTTTTCCTTTATGAATGCATTGTTTTAATATTATATTCAGGATGAAATATAAAAAATGTATGTGTGGTGGCAAATGTTTTAATAGGGGCTTATGTTTCATTTCTTATCAAAATCGTCCCAATGTTTTGTGTCCATTAATTCATTATCACTCGCAGGGTACGTTCACACAAAGAAGACGGTGAACAATAACTTGGATTTTCAAAACCCAGAAAATTAAAAGAAAAATAGTTGGATCTGTTTTCGTTTTTTTTGTGTTTCCTGTCACCTTTGTCACCGGAAAGTCCACTAGAACGCTATGAGATGGGGAGGAAATAGACATACTCCGATCAAGGGTTAGTTTCAAAAATGGATCGAATGGTGTTTGAAATGGATCTGTAAGTTCTTCTCAAGGCAGCGAGGCTCAATGTATAGGTAATTTGCAGATACCTATAGTCAAAAATATAGTTATGAGTCAAAATCAATTCCGCGATGAACAATGTGATATCTACCATTTTTTCCAAAAACAATCTAAAGGAGACAAATAAAAAAAAACGTCCCAAAAAGGAAAGGATTAATAATAAAGAATGGGAGTATAAATCAATACAATCCACCGATCCGTCAAACCGCTTCAAAACGTTGCCTAGCTTACCCAATTTTAGTTTTCAGCTCCACCCTCAGAATAAAACGACGACCTTGGAATCCCTCCTCTTTGACACTCAGAAGGGTTACAGAGGATCCCCTGCTCGGCGTCAATCTGCACTCACTATCCCCGCCGCCGTTCAATGTCAGGTTCGTCCGTATACTCACCCATGACCCAAACCTTGATTATGCTCTGTACAAGTCTAACTCTGTAACTCAGACGAGGTAAAAGCAACGGTATTTGCTTATTTTTCATCAATAACCTCTTGTCCACCTTTTTCCCCGTTTATAATTTCTGTTTTACATTACTGATGTTTTACCGTTTTTGCTGCCTTCAAGCATTACGCAACTGACTTCAGAAGTAAATTTCTTTTTAAGTATTATAAAATAAAGGCTAAAGGGTCAAATAGGTACATGAACTAACTTAAAGTGTTCAATTAACCTCTTATATAGGAAATTCTGCTCGGCTGTCGCCAATTGGGGCGGGCAGACTAGACTGACGAACCTGAATATAGGTTCCATAGGAAATTTATATAGGTTTATGTAATATACGAGATAGGAATGAAAGCCTGATAGGTACCGTAAATAAAGATCAAGAAAATGTAAGATTCACTCATAAACAAAGTAAATATTTTTATGGTGCGTATAAAACTTTAAATAATACAAATTATCTTCAATGAACCAAGCAAATAATACGTATTTTGGATATAATTTTTAAGAGTACAACTATCTGAATATATAACAAAAGTTATATAGAAAACTTCACTAAAAATTCAATCATTTAATTAATCAAAAACTAATATCAAAGTATTAAATAAGTGGCCCTATTGACAAATATCATTTATATGATGGTTTGATAAGTTTTTTTTTTATGTTTTAAATGACCGAATTTCTTGTCAAAAAATGACTCCATATTGTTTTATTATATATTTGAATAGTTGATATTATTAGAAATCATTCTTAAAGTATGCATTGTACATAAGGCCTTGTTAAAGGTTGGGAGCAAAAATATAGGTAGTAACAGATAATTGTGAATTAAAATCCAATTAAATCTCACTCCCACTAACTAACATAAGATTATAAGAGCAAGGAACATACAAGCCTGGAGTATTTGATATTAATTTGAACATCAACTACGCCAAAAAAAATTGATGCACCGTACGTAGTATTTAACGAATCCCACTAACGGGGTTTGATGGTCCATCCGGTATTAAAATGTTTGACAAACTAAGGTACAATAATTTTAGTTCAAAGTACAAGTTTGCATTAGCTTATGATTACTACCAACACATTTTTCATACCCAATCTGCCCTTACCTTCATTCACCTTTATAAGACTGTAGAGATTTATGACTCTAGCAGTCTACTGAACATCAATTAGTTAAGGGTTTGTCGTGAGGTACGTATATTTGGAAATTTTATATTTTTTTCGGAAATTTTAAAATATATTCAATAACTGTATACATATTGTTTTTTCCATCATTTGCAATGGAGCCAAAGACTCACTATTTTTTGGCTTGGGAATATGATGGAATTGTTAGGTCCCTGTTTTCTAGTCTATAAAATGTATGTATGGAAGATAGATCTGGGAATGAAGCTTTCCATTGATGTGATGAAGAAGTTTACAGAATGATATGAAACTTAAGCGTAAAACTTCTATCACGAGAATAGGCACTGCGGCACTAGGAATATCGAAAAGCTTAACCTAGCCTTTCCCTTAAGGCATATATATAGCCTGACGGGAAAGGTAGGTTTTACAATCATTTGGGCTCCTTTTTCTAGGAGGCCCATACCTAAAAAGGTATAAAACCTTTTATTACACATTGCCTTAAAAGGCCTATTCATTATTCTAGCTAGTCTATTTAATTAAGATGCTAAATATAAATAGCTAAGAAACATTGATCACAATATAATGAAAATATCTCTAACAATCTCCCCCTTTGTGATCAGATGTTCTTGCTTCTTCTTTTCTTCACTTCTGAGCTTTAAAATAATGCTTTCTAAGATTGAGTGCATGCTCGTAGTTTCTGAGAGACCTTCTTCTGTCAAGTTGTTTCTCGATGGCTTTCAACACTTTGTCAATTCTGGTTGCCTCTGTTAGTTCATCGTCTGTGGCATCTGCATACTTCTGTTGTTTTTCTTCAAATTCTTTTCTGATAGGTTGCAGTTTTTCTTCAATGATCTTCAGCGTTCCATCACAGTACTTGTTGATTTCTTCTGCCACCAACAAACGCCTCTCACCTTTGTGGTTCAGATAGATGATAGCTAACGGGCGATCGAAGATGTAATAGGCTGGATAGTTCTCAAGTTCTGGCCCGTAAAGCTTTGGTCTTGAGAGGTTTGTCTTTGGCAGATTTGTTTCTAGGGCCATCTGAAGATCATGGGAAGCAAAGAATTTGGCTTGTCTGATCATGAAGCGCTTGAGTGCCTTGAATCCCTCTTGTGTAGATTTGTCCCAGGTGACTGGAATTTCCTGGAAGGCTAGATACATATGATAGATGTCATCCAACTTTAACATATAAAGGTCATTTTCCTTGCAGGTAAATTCAGTCCCGTCGGAGCGTTGCAGGCGGTAAACAGAGAGTGGGATGTCTTGATAATTTATTTCGGCTACATTTAGTATACTCCATACTGGGTCTTTTGCGGTTTGTAGTTCATGTTGCCATACTTCTCTCTGTTTCCCCATGTAATGATGACTAAGCAGAAACAATTGTCCGCCCTTGTTCTTTCCTCTTAGATGATTAAGTCCACAGATTTTCAATTCGTCCAATTCCTTGACTTTGTCATCCTTCCGCCATATACGCTTTCTGATTTCCTCTTGGAAAGGAGCATTGATATTAATATTCTCCCAAGGCTTTTCACTCCTCGGCATTCGAGCCGCTGTTTGTCTGATGATGGATTCCAGCTCCTTGGGAGATTCCTGATAATTTTCTCCTTCCTTGAGTTCATCGTCATCAAGCAGTATCACATCAGTAGCACATCTAGCTAGGAGCTCTCTGAGATAGGCTCTTCGCTGTGTTTCATCCACATTTGTCCATAGCCGAGACCACTGGTTGTGAACAAGAATTTCTTCCAGTTCGTCATGCATTCGATCATCGTGGTGGCTAGAGGGAACTTGCTGCTGCTGTGGCGCTCTGTCAATAGTAACTCCGGGATCACTAGGATTGCCCGTTATCATCAGATTAGAACAGGGTTCTTTCTGATGGCCTGAATAGAAAGGTGTACTCGAAGTAGCAACCTCAGGACTTCCACTCCATCCTTGGTCTACATCTATGAAAGATGAGCCTAGGAGTGTTGTTTCTAGCTCGACCGGGCTAGATGTGGGTGAGTTGGCTGTTTGGCTTTTATGTTGAGTGGATGGTGGGGGCTGATTGTTCGAGGATTCAGGTTGGTTGGATTGCGTAGAGGGTTGGCTTGTTGACGCATCACGCTCAAGTATCCTTTGCCTCTTGTTCTCCCCCTCATGAGGATCCGAGTCATCGGGGTCTTCATGCGAACATTTGTGACCAAGGAGACTATCACGGCATGAGCTATCAGGCTTAAGGATCCGAAGAAGGTCTTTTTGTTTCTGGGTTAGGTTGCCTTCTTCGGTGGCTAGTAGTTGATCTAGCATAAGGTTCTCGAGTACCTCGAACGGTAAAGTTTTAGGATCAGGAAAAGGTGTGGTCGAAGTAGGGGAGGACACTAGTTCTGTATCCTGGGTTCCCCTTGAAGCAGTAGGTGAGTGAGGTAGGGTTGTGGATGGTTCAGAGGTTTGTTGGGTAGGTATGAGAGGAAGTGGTTGGGTTTGTTGGGTATGTGAGGATGATGGTTGGGGTTGGGTGATGTCATTTAGCAACGCCGGGGTGTTCCTGAATTCCTGTGCCCGAGCGGTTATTGCTTCGTGCACCCATGGTTTAATGGTGGAATCCAAGAAACGCTGCAGAATGACAGAAAGGTCGGTGGGGTCAGGGTTACCGGTTACAGGGGTAGTAACTGTTGTCACAGCATCAGTAAAGATTACTGAAGTGTGGCCTGCAGATAATGATGGAGATATCTGTTGAGCAGCAGGACTTCCGATCATCATTGACGTATCTCTGATCGTTGAGGACAGGTAAAGTGCACCTGTTGTGTGCAGTGGTGTGAGCAGTGTATGTGTCCTAGAAAATGTTGAAAATGTTGGGATGGTGGAAACTAGACTCAATGTGCTAGAAGGAGGGGTAGTGGTCTGGGGCGGAAGACCACAAAGTAAATCCTCAGCTGCTTCGTAAGGAGACAGCGAGGTGTGTATAATATCCCCTATATGTGAAACTACTACCTGTTGGGAGGCAGCAGAGTGGCTAGGTGAGGCTTGTGCATGCGCAGTTGGGCTAGATGCTGCGTCTTCTACTCGGAGACTGAAAATATCAGCCTCTGCACCTATGGGGTTAGCCCGGTTTATTGTGTCTAGGTCAGAGCAGCTGTCATACAAAGCTAACTCTTCTGCCAGGTTGCTTGTGGTTTGCACTCTTTGCATAGGAGTAGATGATGAGGCATTGTCATGACGCACCTTGGAGCGAGTCTCACTGATGATATTTCCTTGAGTGTCCTTGATTTGGTGAGACTGCTCTTGTGTTGTAGCCCGAGAAAGCCTGATAACGAGTCGTCCTTTCTTAGCGCGGGCTTTCTCGACTTTCTTGCCCTTTGCATTGGCGTTGTCGTCGTCCTCATCATCATCATCGTTGTCGTTCTTAGCCTTGCTCCCAGAGCCCTCATCGTCAGCGTCTTGTGTTGTGGCTACGCTTGGCGAATCACGGGTAAACTCCTCAGCACGGGTGTGGCCCTCAGCAGACATAGTCTGATCATCATGGGGCCGGCTTGCCACTGGTCTCTGTGGCCGGGTTGAACTCTCAGGACCCTCACTTACTCTCGGCTGACTCCCCGGGGTAGACTCAGGGGGGTTTATCTGAGCCATAGGGAGTATGATACCGTTCTCCTCACTGTAGCGTATGACATGTGGATCATTTCGCCCAGCTAACAGGAGGAGAGGAACAGGAATAGGAAGAGGCACCAGTGTGCGTACCTCTGGCATTTTCTTCAAATATTGTAGGGCTGGAGTGCTGACATTCTCAGATGATTTGCGTCGTTGGATTGTTGGAATTGTTCTGCAGAAGTGTCGCACCAGCAAGGAAAACCATCTCATATATGGTAGATGCTTGATCAGATCAGTGTCAAACTTCCTTCTTCGCATCTCCAGAATGTCTCCCC